AAACCTGAACAAAATACTAGCAAACAAAAGCCAGCAACACATTAAAAGGATCATACACCATGATCAAGTGGGATTTATCCCAGGGATGCAAGGATCCTTCAATATACGTGAATCAATCAATATGATACACCACATTAACAAATTAAGGAATAAAAACTGTATGATCATCTCAGTAGATGCAGAAAAAGCTTTTGACAAAATTCAACACCCATTTATGATAAAAACTCTCCAGAAAATGGACATACAGGGAACCTACCTCAACATAGTAAAGGCCACCTATCACAAACCCACAGCAAGCATCATACTCAATGGTGAAAAACTGAAAGCATTTCCACTAAGACCAGGAACAAGACAAGGATGTACACTCTCGCTACTCCTATTCGACATAGTTTTGGAAGTCCTAGCCACGGCAATCAGAGAAGAAAAAGAAATAAAAGGAATACAAATTGGAAAAGAAGAATTAAAACTGTCATTGTTTGCTGATGACATGACACTATATACAGAAAATCCTAAAGATGCCCCCAGAAAACTACCAGAACTAATCAATGAATTTGGTAAGGTTGCAGGATACAAAATTAATGCACAGAAATCTCTGGCATTCCTATACACCAACAATGAAAAATCAGAAAGAGAAATTAAAGAAACACTCCCATTTACCATTGCAACAAAAAAAAATACCGAGGAATAAACCTGCCTAAGGAGGCAAAAGACTTATACTCATAAAACTGTAAAACACTGGTGAAAGAAATCAAAGATGACAATCACATGGAGAAATACACCATGTTCTTGGATTGGAAGAATTAATACTGTGAAAATGACTATACTACCCAAAGCAATCTACAGATTCAATGCAATCCCTATCAAACTACCAATGGCATTTTTCACAGAACTAGAACAAAAAATTTCACAATTCGTATGGAAACACAAAAGACCCCAAACAGCCAAAGCAATGTTGAGAAAGAAAAACGGAGTTGTAGAAATCAGGCTCCATGACTTGAAACTATACCACAAAGCCACAGTAATCAAGACAGTATGGTACTGGCACAAAAACAAAAATACAGATCAGTGGTACAGGATATAATGCCCATAGATAAACCCACGCACATATGGGCATGTAATTTATGACAGAGGAGGCAAGAACATATACAGTGGAGAAAAGACAGCCTCTTCAGTAAGTGGTGCTGGGAAAACTGGACAGCTACATGTAAAAGAATGAAATTAGAACACTCCCTAACACCATACACAAAAATAAACTCCAAATGGATCAAAGACTTAAATGTAAGACCAGACACTAAAACTCTTAGAGGAAAACATAGGAAAAACACTCTTTGACATAAACCACAGCAAGATCTTTTTTGACCCACCTCCTAGAGTAACGGAAATAAACAAATGGGATTAAATTAAACTTAAAAGCTTTTGCACAGCAGAGGAAACCATAAACAAGACAACCCTCAGAATGGGAGAAAATATTTGCAAACAAAACAACAGACAAAGGATTAATCTCCAAAATATACAAACAGCTCATGGAGTTCAATAGCATAAAAATAAACAACCCTATTAAAAAATGGGCGGAAGACCTAAATAGACACTTCACCAAGGAAGACATACAGATGGCCAAGAGGCACATGAAAAGCTGCTCAACATCACTAATTACTAAAGAAATGCAAATCAAAACTACAACGAGGTATCACCTCATGCTGTCAGAATGGCCGTTATCGAAAACTCTAAAAACAATAAATGCTGGAAAGGGTGTGGTGAAAAGGGAACCCTCCTGCACTGTTGGTGGGAATGTAAATTGATACAACCACTATGGAAAACAGTATGGAGGTTCCTTAAAAAACTACAAATAGAACTACCATATGACCCAGCAATCCCACTACTGGGCAGATACCCTGAGAAAACCATAATTCAAAAAGACACATGTACCACAGTGTTCACTGCAGCACTATTTACAATAGCCAGGACATGGAACCAACCTAAATGTCCATCGATAGGTGAATGGATAAAGAAGATGTGGCGCATATATACAATGGAATATTACTCAACCATAAAAAGAAATGAAATTGAGTTATTTGTAGTGAGGTGAATAGACCTAGAGTCTGTCATACAGAGTGAAGTAAAGTCAGAAAGAAAAAAAAAAATACCATATGCTAACACATATATATGGAATCTAAAAAAAAAAATGGTACTGATGGGCAGGAATAAAGAGGTAGACATAGAAAATGGACTTGAGGACATAGGGTGGGAAGGCACAGCTGGGGCAAAGTGAGAGTAGCATCAACATATATACACTACCAAATGTAAAATAGTTGGCTGCTGGGAAGCAGCAGCATAGCAAAGGGAGATTGGCTCGGTGCTTTGCAATAACCTAGAGGGGTGGGATAGAGAGGATGGGAGGGAGGCTCAAGAGGGAGGGGATATTGGGACATGTGTATGCATATGGCTGACTCGCTTTGTTGTGCAACAGAAACTAACACAGTATTGTGAAGCAATTATACTCCGATAAAGATCTATTTAAAAAAATTAAATTAAATTAAAAAAATAAAAATAAATAAAAAATAACTCAGGATGGAAGTGGGGCTGGGTATGTATAGTCACTGACCCCCCCCACACACACAGTGTATATAGTGATAGTGAATGCTGTCTTTTGTGAAGAAAAGGAGAAATTCAAATACATGTATCTGCTTAATTTTGCAAAAAGAAACACAAGGAAAGATAAACAATTGATCACTTACAGAGGGTGGATGCAGATTAAAGTAAAAGGAATGGGGAAGGAAGTGACACTTTGCAAATATAAATACACCTTTTTGTCTATTTTGAGTTCACAACTGAGAAAAGTTTTGACTTTCATGAGCGAAGTATTAAAAAAAAAAAAAAAATTGGCCTACCTCCTAAATATCCTATGCCTTCCTTTATTCTCACCTAAAAATAATAACCCACAAACAAATAAACAAAAGAGCCCTGCTGGGAAACATGCTCCTTCTACCCGGGGAAAGCTTTTTAAAAGTTTCTCTTCTATACCTAGAAAACCACAGAAAACCAACTGAAAACTTAGGACCCATCAGTAAGATAGTGGGATGAAAATATATACATACAGAAATCAATATCCTTCCTATGTACAAACCCAAGCTCCAATTACATGACATAATGAAAGAAAAGACCTCATTTACAAGAACAAAGAAGTAAAACATACCTAAAAATAAACTGAAAATGCATAAAATCTGTATGAAATAAACATTGAAACATTCATGAAAAAACACTAAGGATGGCCTGAATAAGTAGGCCATCCATGTTCCTGGACAGAAAGACTCACCTTTGTAAAGCTTTATTTTTTAATAATCTATTCATCAATTTCCCTAATTAATAAATGTAATGCAACTATAATACAAATTATCAGTAGGTTTTATTTCTAGAGCCTAGACAACTAACTCAAGTTCAAACAGAAAAATAAACACACAAGAATGGTCAAGAAAGCTCATAAAAAGAGCAATGAGGAGTATGGGGAAGAACGGGCCTTACTAAATATTTAAAAATGCTATACAATCTGAATCATTAAAAGCATGGGGCACTACTGGTATACAAATCATCAGTCAAACCAGTCCAACAGCAGAGAAGCCCCAGAAATAGACTCCAACACAGACAGAAAAATTTAGTATATGACAAAGGAAATACATCAAATTAGTGTTAGGAAAATTGAGTTTTTAATAATGATATTGGAAGAACAAAGCAGCATTTAGAAAGATAAAATGAAATTGAATCAATGTGCCATATGGCAAACAAGGATAAACTCCTAATGGATCAAAGACGTAAATGCAAAAATTAAAAGCATAGAAGTACAAGAAGCAGCAATGGGGGAATTTTATTATAACCTTGGAATAGGAAAGATTTTTTTACCTTTAAGACTCATAATGTAGAAGTCACAAAAGAAAAAACTTGAGGAATTAAACTATATAAAAATCAAAAATCTCTATAAAATCAAGTCTCATAAACAATTTCTAAGAAGAAATGACAAGGTAGGAATGATACTTGAAACCAAATCACTAAAGAATAATCTCCCTAATACAAAAAGAACTCCTGGAAATAGGAAAAAATAAACCAAAAAAACCCCCCACAAAAACAGACTCCATGAAAAATCGCCAACGTATACAACTCACAGAAAAGGAAATACAAATGGCCTTCAAATATATGAAGAGATGGTCACCTTCACTCTTAAGAAAAATGCAACTGAAATTACTATATACTGGTACCACTTCTCATCTATCAGATGGACAAAAATACACAACTTTGGTAGCAATCTGCAGTAGCTATAGGGAAACAGGCATTCTCATACATAGCTGGTTAAAGTACAAGCTGCTGCCAATCTTTATGAAGGACAAAAGGGAAGGAAATCTCTCAAAACTACAAACACACTCACCCTCTGACCCAACAATAAATACCATTTATGAAAATTTTCTCTGCATACTTGCACATTACAAAATTATGTACGTACAAAGCTGTTCATTACAGACTTATATAATTTATAAAAAAAAAATTAAGAAAACCCATTCTACTGCAGGCTGGTTACATAAACCAGGTACTGCTAGATAATGGAAGTTCATGAAGTTGTAAAAAGGAATGAAGCAGTATTTTCTGATAAATACAGAAAGTTCTCCTGGTAGTTAAGTGACAAAAGTAAATTGTACAACTATGTATATTTTGTTTTACCTTTTGTAGAAGATGAAAATAAAAATTATATATTTTCATCTGTACCTATATACAAAACTGGAAGGATATACCAAAAAAAACTAATAAAGTCATTACTTGTGGGAACAGGGTAGATGGACACCTGGGTGGAAGTTAAGACCTATCATTATATAACACTTCTTATACTCTCTGGATTTCTAAACCATGTAAAGACATTACATATTACTCATTCAAAATAAAAGTTAAAAAAAATAGACTGAAAAGAGAAAATTTTCCCCCTGCTTCCTCCTCAGTTTTAGCACATGCTTTCAACCTACCTCCTAGGGGATGGAGACCTAGAAGATTTCCGTTTTATGGTTTTTGATGTCCTTGGTGATCTGGAAGAACTCCTGCTCCTCCTCCTACGCCTCTCCCTGGAAGTCAAAAATATGTCATTTTAAAAAACAGTAATTTAAATAAAAGATAATACAAATACACAAAATCAAAAGGGTCCTTAATGCTCTCAAGTGAATAGTATTCTTTACAGGCCAGTTTAAACTAATGTCTTTCATGAAAATGGTCTGTTATCTAATTCTAGTACAGGTCAAATTATGAACTGTAAATTTTACAGACCAATGAAAACATCTTCTAAGATTTCATATCAGAAAGGGTAGATGACCTCCTTTTCACCTGATTTCTTGAGTAGAAAAAATAGTAATGGATGTTTCTTTCACATTCTCTCTCAAGTCAAACATGTTCTTCCTCAGCACCTAAAGCATGTGTTGCTTATCAGATCCTTTGTCATGCATCTAGCTCCTTGCTGCCCCACTGTGGATTATTTTTTAACAAGGTAACAGGCCCTTTTCAAGAAGTGAAAGGTAAATGGGGTTGCAAAATGTGAACTTTTTTTTTTTTCTTTGCGGTACGCGGGCCTCTCACTGTTGTGGCCTCTCTCGTTGCGGAGCACAGTCTGCGGACGCACAGGCTCAGCGGCCATGGCTCACGGGTCCAGCCGCCCCGCGGCATGTGGGATCTTCCCCGACCGGGGCACGAACCCGTGTCCCCTGCATCGGCAGGTGGACTCTTAACCACTGCACCACCAGGGAAGCCCCAAAATGTGAACTTTTTAAACCCAAGTATGTAGAATGTCTCTAAACATTAATTCATTTGACAGAGAAATTGCTTTTACCCCCTTAACCTACCATTTCATTATTGTTGTTCTATTCATTTAAAATTGAGCACACAAGTTGCTTAGATGTAAGGAAATTACTTAAAACCTGGGATTTAAATATGATAAAGTCAAAAATAATTATTAAATAGATTAACAGTTTTATTATTATTAAAAACTATTTTGCTTAACACATTACCAAATGATGCATACTCTAATAAACTACTTCATTTGTAAGGGTGGTCAACTTAGAAACAATGAATTTCAAGATGTCTATTATTCAGGTGATGAGGTATAAGGGTACATTTATTAAATGATTAATGTAGCCAATGACCTATCTCACAAGAAGCTCTGATAATTAGTGGCCACATAGCTGAAACAACCAAATCCTCTAGAATTCAAGTTCTCCTTATCACCTCAGTAAGCTGATTCTAGGCTAATGAAACATTTTGTGTACATTTTTCATCTGTAAAATAAAAAACTAGATAATGCTCATATGTGGTATACGCAGTAGATGTTACTACCAAAAGAGCTCAAGAACTTTGAGAACACAAATAAATCAATTCCAACTCTACCTAAGGTTCTCTCCTCCTTTACCCAATTTTATTTCCAAGTCACCCCAAAATTACACTTCCTAATATGGAAATTAGATGACGTTATTCCATTTAATCAATGCCATTCTGTAACAGCACCTCCCTACCCCACACAAGAACCAGAAGTACTTTTTTCATAGCATGAGAATATCAGTGTATTCCAGACTTTAAGTTTACACAAAATGGCTCCATCTTCAACAGTATAACTCTTTACCTGTATGTTCAGGAAGCACTATGTACAGATGGACATCTAATAATTACCAGTTAGTGATAATGAGAGCTAAGGCTGGACAGACAGGAAGCTAGAATATCAGTTAGTCGAGAAAGAAGCTGTCAGCTCTAGTATGCAGAATTGGAGTTGATTAGGCTTACATTTAAATTTCAGTTCCACATCTTACCAACTGCACGACTGGGGTCATATTACTTTATCTGAGTCTCAGTTTTTCCAATTGAAAAATGGAGATAATAACTCGAGCCTTGTAGTTTTGAGGATCAGGATAATACCTGTGAAATACCAAGCCTAGTGTCTGGTGCACAGCAGGTGCTCAGTAAATATGTTCTCCTTCCCTTTGATGGTCTCATCCTTATTAATTGTAATTCCAAGCATTAAAAGTTTTTAAATATCAAAATTTTTCCTTAAAAATGTAGCTCAGAAGACAATGTTGGAAATAAAAACATTAAGTAGACTATTATTCTGGGCAGTTAAGAGGTTTCCCATTCACTAAACAAATCAGAGCACCTTAAAGGAAGAAAAATGCTAAAAGATAAGAAATGGTAACTCTTCAGCAAGCTCTTCTGAAAGCATAAAACATTCCAAACTGCTGAACCTTTAGGAATTAACATTAGTCAACATTTATTCTCCAGGCCCCAGAGGTTATCTAAGACCTAAGAACTGAATGTGAACATCTACACTTTCTTAAATATCAAGTGACTTAAAATGACCCATGAAAAAATTATAAACATTTCAAAGTCATCAGAAAAAGTAAATACAACTGAATTTAAAAGGAATCGAGGGGACTTCCCTGGTGGCGCAGCGGTTAAGAATCCGCCTGCCAATGCAGGGGACACGGGTTCGATCCCTGGTCCGGAGAGATGCCGCAGGGCAACTACGCCTACGTGCCACAACCGAGCCTGCACTCTAGAGCCCACATGCCACAACTACTGAAGTCCGTGGTGCCAAAACTACTGAAGCCCGCTCACCTACAGCCCATACTCTGCAACAAGAGAAGCCACCGCAATGAGAAGTCCACGCACCGCAACAAAGAGTAGCCCCCACTATCCACAACTAGAGAAAGCCCACGTGTAGCAATGGAGACCCAAAGCAGCAAAAAATAAAAATTAATTTTTTAAAAAGGAATCGAAATATTATTTGGTGTTGTGAAGGGCAATATCTAAACGATCACACAAACACAAAGGAATGTGTGAAACACAACCAATAAAATAACTGCAATAAAGATGCAGTCTGCAAGGCTCAACTGATACCCACAGCAAATGAGTTAATTTCTTCAGGTTTTGGTTCAATGTGCTGAAATATGGCAATGACCTACTGATTTGAAGTCACATTTTAACATATACTGTTGCTTTCAACTATATACTTCTGACGCACTTTTTTTTTTTTTTTTTTGCGGTACGCGGGCCTCTCACTGTTCTGGCCTCTCCCGTTGCGGAGCACAGGCTCCGGACGCACAGGCTCAGCAGCCATGGCTCACGGGCCCAGCCGCTCTGCGGCATGTGGGATCTTCCCGGACCGGGGCACAAACCAGCGTCCCCTGCGTCGGCAGGTGGACTCTCAACCACTGCGCCATTAGGGAAGCCCCTTCTGACGCGTTTTTTAAAAGCCAGTACCAAGTAATGGTTAAAGTCCTCAATTAAACAATCTCTAAAGAGAGAAGAGCTACTATACTACTATACTTCTAACTAAAGTGCAGAGCAGATGGAAAATTTCCTCTGGTTTGGTTTCCTCATGTTTTAAAACCATGATAACAGTCTTCTCACAGGCTTACTGTGAAGATTAAATAAGATCAGTCATGAAAAACTCTGCTGAGACATAAAACCTGGCATATGGTAAAGCATTCAATAAATGCTTGCAATTATCTTCTATTAACTAGCCAAAGACTAGTATTAAGAATAAGCTGTTAAAACACAAAGTTAAAAAATTTAGGAAATATATAGTCCATTGTCTCAGAAATTATGTTCTATGAAAAAACATTTTAAAATATCTTTAAAACTTGCAAAAATATATTTTTAAAGTATTTTTAAGATATAGTTTAACACAACTTAGGAACTTCCATTTATTTATAGTCACAATATCATCTGGAGCAATGGATGTAGATTGAGATAATCTTGAATTAAGGAAGGTCCTCATTTTGCGGATGTTACTATGGCAACCTGCTGCCACCTGGTGGCAGTGTACCTATTAATAAACAGTCCTAAGAAAAAAGCAAATCCTTAACAACAAATTAATAAATGAAAACCAAAATTTAAACGTCATGTATTCAACAAAGTAGAGGAGTAAAAATGAACTTAGATGACGAAAAGGACTAATACTGTAACTTTAGAAATAATTTTATATATTAAAATTTACCACATCATTCCAAAGAAATATAGACGCCTAAGAAGTCAATTTCTCTACATAACGAAAACAAAAAACTTGCCCCTGCGAGCCCACCCTCCAAGAAAATAATAAGCAGCAGCAACAGCAGCCACTGACACCACTGCCAGGTTAAAATAGTGGATTACAAAGGACAGTTAACTTTTCAAGTAATTCTGGCCAATGTTCTCTCTTCCTCCTCATAGATTCAATACTGTAGCAATCCCTCTGCTAGAGAAATGTTTACTCTGCTATCAGAGGGAAATGTTCTGATACTATTGTACTGATTCCACTTGTGCACAATTATCTTTTCCCCCCAGTTAAAATTTATGTTTTCATTTGTCATCAGTAAGCCCTTTGGTAAAAACTTTAAGCATTATCAAACCTGCTGGAACTACGAGATCTTCTTGATGCATTGTAACTTCTGGGTGGTGTTCTGGACTTTTTATCCTTCTTTCTTTTCTCATCTATCTCTTTGGATCTGTCCTTTTCTCGTTCCTTTTCTTTGTCCTGTTCCTTCTCCTTCTCTTTGTCTCGTTCCTTTTCATGCTCTTTTTCCCGCTCTCTCTCTCTGTCCTTCTCCTTGTCTTTATCTCGGTCCTTTTCCCGTTCTTTATCCCGGTCTTTATCTTTGTTTTTACCCCGTTCCTTTTCTTTTTCACGTTCCTTTTCCCTGTCTCTCTCTTTTTCCCTTTCCTTTTCTCTATCTTTTTCTTTCACTCTTTCCTTTTCCTTGATTTTTTCTCGGTTGTCTTTTCTTTTGTCCCTTTAAAAACAAAAGTAAATAAATAAATTCACAACTAAAATAATTCTACTCCCCAACGAGGACCTCATTCTCTTTCCTCAACAATTATCAACACAAAACAATGTATAATAGCTGTAAGACATTACATATAAATTTCTAAATAATTTATGTGTACATGAAGCTGCTAAATGAAACAATTATCAGGCTGAATTTAGTCTGGAAATCACATGAGTCATACTAACCATCAGATTCAAATCAATGACAATCGATATTAACTCATTACTGAAACAATCAGAAAAAAGTTTAATTTCTTTCATTAAAAATTTAAACAACAGGTTTTTAACATATGAGGTCATGAGAAAACTACCCTTAATTTCCAAAAAACTCACCGTGAACGCGAACGACTCCTTGACTTCCGCCTCTCCCTTGATTTAGAGCGTTTTTTATGAGGGCTCTTAGATCTACGTCTATCTTTTTGTCTTGAACGTGATCTATTATGGGATCTGCTCCTAAAGAAAAACAAATTGTTAGAATATCAAAACTTATTCTTAGAATTTCAATTTATAAATATTTAAGATCTTTCACATAAGAGAATTTTAAAACCAATCCTGACAGTATTTATCAATATTTTTAAATTCTCTATTACATAATGCTTCAAAATTAGATTATCTGACATAAATTTATTGAAAACTTCACCAGACATTTCATTGTCCAGAACACAAAGACAGAAACAGAAAAAGAATTTAAGCTATTTCCTATGTCAGACTTAAGTTGACAGTTTCAGGTGTGGCTTTCTTTTGCTAAATATTGCATGGCTCAATTAGAACAGACAACTTCTCCCATGGTCCAAATTTTCATACCAAAAATTGTCTTTAACTCTTGACTTGAATGTAATATTACTGCTTGTGGCTATAACTTATCTTTGACAGGGAGTAGTGGTTATATGGTTCAATGGTTTCTATAAATGACTGTGTGCTATTTGTCATAACACATACTAAGAAGAATGCATAGGGAAGCACAGTACTAATGATGGTGCTAGTGTGACAGGAAACCAAACATCTTACTCGTGAGTTAAAGCTAAATATAATCAAATGTTGAATTTGCAAAGCCTTGATTTTATTACCTAAACAAAGCTATTAAAAGAAACCTTTATTACTGGCATTCTTGGAGGAAAAATAACTGTTTTTTTAAATTCTGAAATTCTCTAGGCTCCTTTCCCAACTGAAATAATAGCTTATATAATGTGACATTTTTCATAATGAGGTATCCTAGGAACTATTTATTTAAATGTAACCAAATTGAAGGCATACAACTTAAACAACAAAGTGATGAGACTCACCGGCTTCACAGTTAAACAATCTGGCCCTGACACTCAGTTCTGCCACACAATAGCTGTGAGAACTCTGGCTAATCACTCAACCTCTCTGAGCCTGAGTTTCTTCATCTAAAAAGTGGAGTAAGAATCATACCTATACCTCCTAGAACTGTCATGAGAATTAAAACAGATGATATATGGAAAACTGCCTAACAGTTTTGAGTGCAGAGTAAATGATTAAAAATCCTATCTCAGGGCTTCCCTGGTGGCACAGTGGTTGAGAGTCCGCCTGCCGATGCAGGGGACGCAGGTTCGTGCCCCGGTCTGGGAGGATCCCACATGCCACGGAGCGGTTGGGCCCGTGAGCCATGGCCGCTGGGCCTGTGCGTCCAGAGCCTGTGCTCTGCGGTGGGAGAGTCCACAGCAGTGAGGGGCCCACATACCGCAAAAAAAAAAAAAAAAAAAAAATCCTATCTCAATATCTGCATCATCATCATTATTAACAATTAACATAAATGAAAACTTTAAATTATATCTCTATTTATTCCAAGGGGTCAAATGAACATCTACAAGTATGCCTTATATAATTAAAACTCATCTTGATAGTTATATCTTCATGAATTAAGTTAAAACAAATATCTATAAAAGAAATACATATAGTTAAATGCTTGTGCTATGCCGTGAAACCAGAAGTCTCCAGACAATCCTCAATTAAGTAATGCTCTTGTTCGTAAAACACATTTTTCAGTTAGTCAAAATTTGTTTTCCAACAGCTAATTTTCAACTGAACCACTCATCTATTATACACTTATCTTCATACCTCATTTTTAATATACGAAGATAATTCGTAGTTTGTTGAAACCTTTATCACTAATAACCTAAGAGACACAAGGGTCAAGTAGTAGCTATCAGAGGAAAACTTAAAAACTTATAACATTTTTAGTCCATTTACAGACATCCACATGAGGGTAATAATGTTTTAAAGGGCCTTTGCTTCTATGTACTTAATAAGTCTTAAGATTTCTATTCTAGTTAACCTTGCTAAAAACAATAAATAATAATTTTGTTTGCTTCAAATAGCACTTTCCAATCTTAATTAAACAAACTCCTTTAAGAAAATTAACCATAGCCATAACAAATAAAAGTTAATAATAAAAAAGCACTGACCACTTGGATTCCCACCTTATCCTGTGGGTCCTCAGAGTTTGAAAGTCACTGCTCAAGAGTAATTATTGTATTTCAATTTTGACATTAAATATTTCATGTCTGTCTCACCCACTAGTTGCCTACAAGTTTTCTATTCGGAAAGCTAAAAGCTTCAAGTCAAGAGCAAATCTAATCCAACCAAAGATAAAGATTTGAGCTATCATTAGCAGCTGTCATTTTAACATGATGTACAAAATTGCATTTATAAGTTAAATTGTAAATAAAGAGCAACTTACCATTATGTTGCATCAAAGTTCATTTGTAAGTCAGTTGTTTCCCATTAAAATATTATAAAATGTCTTATAGTTCCTATGCTGGTCTGTAAAGGTTACTTAACTTTAAAATATAATAGAGTACTACTACCCACCTTTTCTAACACTGTCCCTATGAAAAAAACCCATATAAAAATTTGGACAGAGTGGAAACACATCTTCCCAGTTCTAGCCAAGGTCATAGTAACAAATAACTATTTCCTCCCTCCTACAGAAAGAAGAAGGAACAGGGAAAGAGTCAGGGGAAAGTTCTAGAAGTATCAGAACACTAAGAAGGTGGGGCTTCAAGAACAAGGGCTCCTGCAACCCACACTCCTGCTAGGTCTAGTGGGTCAGAGCCAGAGCTGAGGGTATCCAATCCCACTAGAAGAGGGGAAACCGAGAAATGCTTGCCATCCCCTACCGGTGGAGAGGGGGAGGGAGTTCCATAAGTCAAATGTTTTTCGGTGAGGAATTTCTTTTCTTTTCAACAAAACTCATCCTCTTTTTTATTTCTTTATGACCTTAGTAAAGGCTTCTTGTGTTTATATACAACATGTATAAAAACAGTATATGCTGACAAAAAAGACATACAGGCATACCTCAGAGTTATTGTGGGTTTGGTTCCAGACCACCGCAAAAAAGGGAGTATCACGATAAAGCGAGTCAGGAATTTTTTGGCTTCCCAATGCATATACAATTTATATTTACTCTATACTCTAGTGTATTAAGTGTGCAACAGCATTATGTCTTAAAAAAAATGTACATACCTTAATTAAAAATACTTTATTGCTAAAAAATTCTAATTGTCATCTGACAATGCAGGGCTGCCACAAACTTTCAATTTGTTAAAAAACCACAGTATCTGTGAAGCACAATAAAGCAGAGTAAAATAAAACGAGGTGTGCCTGTGTGTATGGGCGTGTTTGGGTGTGCGCGCCAGCCAAGAACAATTAATTTCTAATGCTACATAATTAGATAGACCTCCATGAAATCACTCCCATGAATAAGAATAATTAACAAATTTCATTTTAGACAGAATAACCCTTCCTCCACTAACCCTTGGAAAGGGAAAATATCCCAATATACTGAAAACGATAAGAGTAAAAACCTTAGTTAAATTATTTGTCCCAACAGAGAAAGCGTCACAGAAATTATCAAGGAAAAAATGTTAATAATCAAATTTTGCTTTTTTTCTGCCTTAGAAAACCACTAAGGTATTAGATTTGGAGCATGGCTCTTATAACACAAAGTAAGATTTAAGTCATTGCTCTTTTTCTTCCTCAGAAAAGTTATTATTCTTCAGCTCAATTCTGTATTTTCTTGATCTCCTTTACCTTCACCACCCTGTTGACCTATAGAAATATCCATAATCTAGTACCACTGATTCTACACCACTTTCCTTCTCCAGTTCTGGCTTTGCTACACTGTCTTATTCCTTGTACATGAAACAACTTCCTTCTCTTGGACATGAATTTGCCTTACTGTAAGGCCTTGGATAGAGAGAGAGATTAAAACCATATTCCAAAAGGAATTCTGCAAGTAATAGTAGAGACATATACACAAGTAGAGAGCTGAAGTATAGTTTGCTAGAGTCTAATTAAGAATATCTGCAACTAGGGATTATCATACTAAGTGAAGTCAGTCAGAAAGAGATGACGAATACCATATGATATCGCATGTGGAATCTAAAATATGATACAAATGAACCTATCTATGAAACAGAAACAAAATCAGGGACATAGAGAATAGACTGCTGGTTGCCAAGGGGGAGGGGGATGGGAGAGGGGAGACGTGAGAGTTTGGGATTAGCAGATGCAAACTGGTATGCATAGAATGGATAAACAACAAGGTCCTACTGTATAGCACAGGGAACTACATTCAGTATCCTGTGATAAACCATAATGGAAAAGAATATGAAAAAGAACATATATATATGTATAACTGAGTCACTCTGCTGTACAACATTGTAATTCAAGTATACTTCAATAAAAAATAAATTAAAAAAAAGAAGATCGTATTTTCCTATCTCATTACCTCAATCTCCTTGATTAGCACAGAAAATCAAGACAAAACTGAGCTTGCTAGTGAGGTTCAACATAGGGCATACTGGTTCCTTTTTTCCCTCCCCTCAAATCCTCCTCCTTCTCTAATACTCCCAACAAACATGCACACTCACACGCACACACACTTTTCTCTGCCTCTTCTCTTTAGAGAGTACGCGTATGTATGCACATGTAACATGCAATTAGGATCCACTGCATACACGTTCACATTGCAGTAACAGCCCCCTCCACATCTTAAAGAAGACAATAAAACTTATTTTAGACATGACTCTTAGGTTACTTCCAATCAAGATGGTGTTGCAAGTTTATATCTTGAGACCCCCTTTGCACCAAACACAAAAGATTTTAAAAGAACTTCAAAATGACAAAGCCACGCTCAAAAATAAGATAAACAAAACAGAAATAGAGCTTAAGCACAACAGTTGCAATTAAAGCTGCAAGTTACTCCTATGTTTCAGGTCCCAAAGTGGGTGGAAGAGGCTCTTATCACCAAGAGTACAAAGACTTAAAGTACCCCACTTGACGCACAGTATTGGAGAAGGGTAACTACTTGAAATCAAGATCTGGGGTGGTGCGCCCCAGACCTTGAGGAAAGTGGGGGAAGAAAAAAACAAAAAAGCTGCAACAACTTCAGCAATATTTTCAGCATCAGATGTTCCCTTTATGAAGAATGAAAAATTTCTGCCAGTTCTGTATAGAGACTAGTTTACTCTTAGAAAAATCAGGAATAGAACATCTTAAGATAGAAAACCAACTTCTAAAACTAAAAATTAGTTGAAATTATATATTAATTACATAAAACTTCATTCTTTAGCATTACAATTAAAGCAATATCTAATGGTAACCATACTCCCTGGTGAACACCAGTGAAATTTCTACACTCTGATACTTGGACAAAAACTCAGAAAATCTTAACCACTGTAAATACAAAACAGAAAAAATTTAAATATGACAGTAGAAATTCTCACCTGTGTTTTGACTGTGATCTTTTCCTTCTAGAACGGGATTTTGAGCTAGACCTGGATTTTGAACGAGTGTGGGAACGAGATCGACCGCCTTTTCTTTCATTGTTCTTTCCAGACTCTGGGAGGAAAAAACCACTTTGCAGTGTAAGCTCAGAACAATTAAAGATCCCAGTTAATAATCAGGCACAAGTGGAATGTACCACATATAGTGCAAGGGGCCTACTCTCTGTACATCCTCCTCCTGTGCAATTATCCTTCAGAAACATCCAAGAAAGTCATTGCATAAACTCGTTGAGTGCAGCCACCCTGCAGCAGTACATATAAACCAGATGATTATAAACAGCTGTTCGTAGTATTTTGTTGCTGCCATAATGTACGATTATAACATGTCTGTAATTCCTATGACAGTGATTTTAAATCCTTTTTCCATTTATTTTCCTAGAATTGAAGCTTAAATTCTAATTTAGAAAATTTGATCAAATGTAAAAAACCATCTAGACATTTTTAGGTTGGATTTCTAATTTTAGTTAGCAACACAAAAGTTTGAAAGGGTGTTCCTTTACCATGCTAAAACAGACTCTGTAGTTTTCCTAACTCATGGGCTCTCTTTTCTATTTTTAAAATTAAAACTTTGAAGGAAAAGTGAATCTGCTTAATCATAACATTTAAAATATATTTATTCTTGTCTTTAGCCTCACAATAATATTTACACTTTGCTTTAAGCAAATCAGTTCTGCGTACTGATTTTGCTATTAAAATATAAAGAAGTGATTAACTCAAGCTAATGTACCTCAATTCAGTATCATGGAAAAAGATATTTGTGCTAAATAGTTCTTCAACCTTTAACACTAGTTAAGTCACTTACTCTTTCTTGAGTTTCAGTCTTCTTGTTTGTAAAATGAAGGGACTGAACAGATAATTTCTAAAATTCCTTCCAGTTCTAAGATTCTATGATCTTCAACTATGACCTATGTAACAACGCTATGGCCTTACCTGGTTCGATAGCTGCTGAGATAAAGGACTGAGCCTCTCGCACTCGCTTCATTACTTCTTCTAACTCCTTAGCTGCAGCCTGAGGTGTCATCTCAGGGGGTTTTACTATTGCATTGTTGGAGTGATTTATTCTAAATTAAAAATATTAGCATATCACAAATACACACCATATTTTACAAAACATGAAACAACTAATTGTTTATATGATACAGATATTTACAAATCTGAGGACATCTCAAAAGCACATTTAGAATAATATAGCTAAATACAGAATAACCAAAACCAACCTCAAAACCATGATTTATCTCATTCCCATCTGCCATCATCTCTTGCTAACAAAGGCAAAAAGCAAGGGAAAAAAAGAAAAACTGAACCCTAGCTAACTTCTTTAACAACCTAAATAGGCCAGGACAACCGCTTCTCCTCACAGCTTAGAGTTATAATAAATTAAAATGGTGACACCAATATTAAAATGAATCACTTCTAAGATTATAAAATTTTGTTGATAACCTCTGCACCCTGGGAGGATGAAAGGGAACCTATATATCATGTGCACCATTTTAATCCACCCTGGACCATGGCCTCGTCATACAGTTTCAAATATGGGAGGAATCTGATAAAACTCTTCCTTTATGGGTAACAGTGGTTTCTCTGATGCACATAAATGAATTTGGTGTGTCTCCCTTTACCATGGTGAAAACACAGCATTCACTAAGAACAGTTTCTTATCCCTTAATAGCAGACTCCTGATCAAACTATATAATTAAGGCAATTATCTACAGAATTCAGATAAAATTGGTGCCTCGATAATGTGCATGAAATAGAATTTCTGGTCTTGAGTACCTGAAAGGCTACATCAACTTTTCATTTTGCAAACAAGGACGTGAGCAAACCTTAAAATGTATAATTTAAAACATTTCTGGGTACATTCTTCCTGAAATTTTGGATTTACCAAAATTCTTATTACTATATTACTGTAAGTTCTACCCATATGTTAAACTGCCCATTAGTCTAGTGTAATAATGCAAAACCAACCTAACTTGTTAAAGCTTATGGAAAAAGACCTACAATCAATATGTACGGTATAAAAATGTTAACTTTAAATTAGACCTTATGAAATAGAAAATAAGATGTCTTCAAATGTAACTTTAATTTATAGGCTAAAATGGTAAATATCTCATGTGTTTCATTTATACTTAACACAAAGTCTTCCTTTCCACAAATTGCCAATTACTATTAAAAAGAAAAAAAAAACTGCATTACATCAAAACCACAAAATTTTTTCAAAATCATTAAAATTTCTTTGTTTAGTGTTTCTTACTTCAGTGGCCTGTCTCCAAACATAACTCCATTAAAAGCAAGGGCCCTTGGTACAGAATTTTGGTCTGCAAATTCCACAAAAGCAAACCGAGTTGGCTGAGTCTCATCACCTGCCATCCGCACAAACTTCACTTCTCCAACTTGTTTAAAAAATTCAAGTAGCTGATCAGCTGTTGTTGTCTGAAGAAACAAAGTAACACTTTAATAAAGTATATTCTTCTTTAAAAAAATTCAGGTAAATACTACTTTATCAATTGATACGATTTTTAATAAAGGGAAAGGAATAAGAGGTCCCACCACTCAATTTCTTCTTATATTAGTTACCTGGGAATTCAAATTGCCAACATAGACTGTTCTCCTAATTTCATCAATTTTGGAAGGATCCACATTTCCCATAAGTGGTGGCTGTGGTATCTCTCCAAGTGTTGCAATATTGGGGTCTAGTGCTGCTGCTGGTATAGCTCCCAAACTGCTAAGGGAAACACCCAGCTATAAAAAAATTAAAAAAAAAACAGAGCAGATATTTTCTATTAGTGTCAAAAATTACCATTCTCTAATCTTGAAGAATATTGATCAACTCAGTAAGAATGGGAAGAGACTAGGGACTCCTAATTTAAGCCAGGTATATATCTGAATTATTCAGAGTAAGGTCACAGTAGTTTTCAATGTAATTAGAAATACAACATATTTCTTAACTATCTGGGTATTTTAATTACTTCTAAACTTGACACTAAAAACAAACAGTCCATTCTCATTATCTGTAGTACTTATGTCCAATAAAGTTTGCCATGAAGACTGAATTATTAAATACTGAAATCGCTGCTCCTAGGGAAAAAAACACAGGGCTAGGTTCCTATGAGCCTCTGGTCATAACACTTTCATCAAGTGATAAATATATGACCTTGTTTTATGTGTGCTTCTGTTTAAAAATACCTTAGTTAGTATATATTATTGATTCATTAACATTAAACTCATGACCAGCAGCATGATCAGCTCATGCCTGAATGAACCTTATCTTACATAAGAATTTTCTCTGTAAGGTACATCACAGGCTTCCAACACTTAGGAACACTAGACAAAACTTTAGCACTATGCTGGGGGCCAATTTAAAGAGCAAAATGACCAACATAAAGCACAAAAATGCAAAAAACATGACACTCGACACACCACACACAAAAAAGTTATTTACACCATTAGAGCTGAAATAAGAAGGCAGAGCGTTGCTCTGTTTGAACTCATCTGGGAATGAACGTATCAAGCAACTCAACTTTCTCCTCATTCTATTTGTGTTGATGAATAACCACAAAAGCACCACAAGTACCGATTTTGAGATTTCAAATAAATTTTAGCTAGTATGTGAATTCACAAATACAGAATTCACAAATAATGAGAATCAACTGTACCTCGGGCATTCAACAACACTGTGAATTCCTAATACTTAACAATAATCAAAGCACCTAATTTTTGCTAGGTTATTAACTCAATTCTCAGAACAGCCCTAAGAGATAGATATTACTATTACACCAATTTCACAGATAAAGACAAAGTCTTACAGAAAATAATTTTCCCAAAGATACTCAGCTAACACGTGGTAAAACCAGGGTACCACCATGCACAGACTAAAATTAAAGCAGGGACAAAGTTTACCTAAGAAAAGAAACCTAAAATATTAAACCCTTACTTATACTACGGTAGGAAAAAGATAAAAACCTTTGAATGATCTTTCATAACATTACTAAAATCAGTTTTAGTTCAAGCATTAAGAAACACATTTTTAATGTGAATTTAAACTGAAAAGATAGATCTCAGAATTTGAAAATGAAAAATTTTGCAGAATTCACAAGACTTTTCAAGGAAAAAAAAAACTGCAACTTTCATTTCCACTTTTGCAATTTAAGTCAAATAAGTTAACTGACTATATACTGTTATATTGTTGCAAAGCTACTAAAATTTAACAAATGTTAAGTAATAACACTTCCTAAAGGTGAAAATACTAGTTTATGAAATAAGTATCACTTATGCTTACCATAGCAACCCATGTGTGATCGTTTCAAAACATGTCAAATCAAGTTTTACCCCCGCTTAAAACCCTTTAGAATAAAATTCAAACTTCCTTCTGTGGTCTAAATAGCCCTACATCATCAGTGCCCTATCTATCCCTCCAATCTCAAAACACCTACTACCCTGCTGCCCCCCGACCCCGCCACCCTGCCTTCACAACCATTCTGCACCTGGAACACACAAGTTTTTCTCACTTTAGGGTTTCTCACTTGGCATTCCTTCGGCCCTAGAAAGCTCTTCCCCTAGCTTCTGCTGGCTGAATCCTTCAACTGCCAGGTCAATCACCCTCTCCAGGAGGCTTTCCCTCACCTTACGTAGAGCCTCATTTACTCTCTACTACACCACTCTGGTTTTTTTCCTTCATAGTATTTATTACAATCTGTGGTATCTTGCTACTAACAGATCTTATATTTTTTGCTGTCACCATTTCAAGTTACCATAATGTTATAGAAAATACCTTAGTTCAAAACAGGTGAATGGCCTAGCCTCCCTCCACATGTTGCGTCTAATCACACTCCTTTTTCCCCTCCCATGTCTTTGATAGTCTAACATTCACAGATGATTGAGGGTCATACCTTAAATTTTTTTCTACTGTGCAAGAGAATTATTATATACAATTAAGCTAAATCACAAATATGAGTCTTATTATTTGTCGGTTTTGCATGGATTTAAAACAGGCCTTTCCTAGTATTCCCAGCTGTCAATCCCTTTGACCTACACATTTCTTCACTGGGACATACAATTATAGATCTCTAATGGGCCTTTCCAAATCATCTAATCCAACTCCTTTGTTTCTCAAATTTAAAGATCATTCAGTCCTGTTTTTAGAAACTTTTCCTGTCTCTCTCTCTCTCTCTCTCTCTTCTTTGCACTGTACCATTCTTCGACACTTGTGTCATTTAACATGGTAATCACCAATCACATATGGCTATTTGAATTTTAATTAAAATTCAGTGCCTCAGTCACACTAGCCACATTCCAAGTGCTCAAGAGCCACATGTTGCTAGTGGCTTCTACACTAGATAGCAGAGATACAGACATCTCCATCATAGCACAAAGTTCTACTGGATGTGGCTACACTATAACAATACAACTACCCTTCTTTAGATTAGCCTATTTTCTAGCCCTGGTCTAAAGGACCTAAATACTTAAGTTGCCCTTTCAGTGTTTGAGGGGGTAAAGATGACCTGACTCCCGATATAAAACTTTTGCCTTCTGACATAGAAACCTTGGCCTCCCTGGAGATGTGATTTTTAAATAGAAAGAAACCTCATGAAAGGTTTCACTCTTATGAAAGAGTAAAACTTTTCAATGTCTGGAAAACAAATGTTCTAGGCAGAGGATAAATAAGTACAACAGCCCTGAGACAGAAATATGTTTGGCATATCCAAAAATCAACAAAGCCAATAAGACTGAAATAGAGGGGAGCCAGGAAAACCAGTAGGGAAAAAAAAGGTCAGAGAGGTAGCTAGGAGCCAAATCACGGGCCACCTTTCCCCTGTTTTCTACCTAAAATTATTCTTCATGAATTAAGCTTTCTAAAAATACATATCTTGGTCTTCCCTGGTGGCGCAGTGGTTGAGAGTCCGCCTGCCGATGCAGGGGACGCGGGTTCGTGCCCCAGTCCGGGAGGATCCCACGTGCCGCGGAGCGGCTAGGTCCGTGAGCCATGGCCGCTGAGCCTGCGCATCCGGAGTCTGTGCTCCGCAACGGGAGAGGCCACAACAGTGAGAGGTCCGCGTACCGCAAAAACAAAAAACAAAAAAACCGTATCTACAGCTGAATTGAAAGGAATCATTTCCCCTCACAGCAACAAATTAAATAATAAAAACTTTCTCTTCTTGATAAATAAAACCTAAAAAGTTTCAAGATAGCAAGACAATACTTTCTGAGGAGGGGGGAAAAGAGATGATGATCCAGGAATTAATCTTAAAATATACCAAAACATACCCAAAATAAAATTTTTAGAAATCCCAATTCAAATGATTAGATGTTAAATTAAAAACCATTTACAGATCAGGACCTTGCAGATGGTGGAGGAATAAACCCTGGAGATCACCTTCCTACCCACAAATACATAAAAAAATAAATTTACATGTGGAACAACTCCTACAGAACACCTACCAAACGCTGGCAGAACACCTCACACTTCCCAAAAGACAAGAGACTCCGCACATACCAGGCCATGTGGCTGACAGGGTGCTCTGACCAGGTATCAGGCCTGAGCCTCTGAGATGGGAGCGCCGTGCTCAGGACACTGGACCACTTTCACCTCCCAGCCCTATGCACCATCAATCGGTGAGAGCTCTCCCAGAGATCTCTGTCTCAACGCTAAGACCCAGCTCCACTTAACTACAAGCAAACTCCAGTTCTGGACATCCTATGCAAAACAACTAGCAAGACAGGAACACAACCCCACTCATTAGCAGAGAGGCTGCCTAAAATCAGAAGTTCACAGACACCCCAAAACACACCACCGGATACAGTCCTGCCCACCAGAAAGAAAAGATCCAGCCTCATCCTCCAGAACACAGGCACCACTCCCCTCCACCAGTAAGCCTACACAACCCACTGAACCAACCTTACCCACTGGGGGCAGACACCAAAAACAACAGGAACTACAAACCTGCAGCCTGCAAAAAGGAGACCCAAACACAGTAAGTTAAACAAAATGAGAAGACAGAGAAATACACAGCAGATGAAGGAGCAAGGTAAAAACCCACCAGACCTAACAAATGAAGAGGAAACAGGCAGTCTACCTGAAAAAGAATTCAGAATAATGATAGTAAAGATGAATCAAAATCTTGGAAATAGAATGGAGAAAATACAAGAAACATTTAAAAAGAACCTAGAACAAACAAACAAACAATGATGAACAACACAATAAGTGAAATTAAAAATTCTCTAGAAGGAATCAACAGCAGAGTAATTGAGGCAGAAGAACAGATAAGTGGCCTGGAGGATAAATTAGTGGAAATAACTACCGCACAGCAGAATAAAGATAAAAGAATGAAAAGAATTGAGGACAATCTCAGAGACCTCTGGGACAACATTAAACACACCAACATTCGAATTATAGGAGCCCCAGAAGAAGAAGAGAAAAAGAAAGGGACTGAGAAAATATTTGAAGAGATAATAGTCAAAAACTTCCCTAATATGGGAAAGGAAAGAGTCAATCAAGTCCAGGAAGCACAGAGTCCCATACAGGAAAACCCAAGGAGAAACACGTCAAGACACATATTAATCAAACCATCAAAAATTAAAAACAAGGAAAAAATATTAAAAGTAGCAAGGGAAAATCAACAATTTACAAACAAAGGAATCCCCATAAGGTTAACAGCTGATCTTTTGGCAAAACTCTGGTAGCCAGAAGGGAGTGGCAGGACATATTTAAAGTGATGAAAGGGAAAAACCTACAACCAAGATTA